CACACAACAGAACGCAACACCGCCCTGTCCTGAGCCTTCCTCCATGTTGCCAGTGGCTAGAGAGTGGGATCCCTAGTGACCCTGCACACAACAGAACGCAACACCGCCCTGTCCTGAGCCATCCTCCCAGTTGTGGTTGAGCTCATTGCTGCTGCCAGTGTCCCTCTATTAGCTAGTTGCTTTTTCACTGCATTATCTGTCCCACACCCAAATAAGGCTCTCAGGAGCCCTAGTAAACAGTGGGCTAAGCGCTGGGCTGTGCTCCACAAGCTTCATACCCACCAGCCACTCGCTCCCCGGGAGGAAGATGAGGCAGTCTGCCCGTGGACAGAGTTAGTCTCAGACACCAGAAAGCTGATGGGGCGGTTCTACTCTGTTCTGCAGGGCCACTAGGAAGTAGGTTTGGTTTTTTGCCAAAGCGCCTCTGGGTGGATTTGAACTCCACTGGTTGTTTGCTTTTCTACACTAGCATCTTTTTCAGTCTCAGTCCTCCATTGAGTGATTGAGGGTCAGTACTAAGAATCAGTGCAACAGTAACCAAAACTCCAAGCGCATCATTCGGAACAATGCAGAGGCCCTGCTTGTCCCCTGGTCAGGTGACAAGGTGTGTCCACCCAGCACAGCACAGTCTGCTGTCCTGGCTCTCGCTCACCGGCACCAACGTTCTTGGACAGAACGGGCAGTGGGTCGCTCTCCTGGTCAGGTCTGATGAGGATGGAGACAGCGGAGGACGCGGTGATCTCCCTGAGGAGGCTGCTCATGCCCTGCGTGGACTCCTTCAACAAGGAGGTCATGTTCTGCGTGGATTCCTTTAGGAGGTCCGAGACGGTCGGGGCAAACTTACTCTGTCCATTTAAATCCTTGTTGTCGATGTTAATAGCAAAGAGGATGGAGTTCAGACCTGCCAAAAAGAGGGGCCTGTCTGCAGGGCTGGCTGCTGAGCATCACCACATCTCAAGCATTATCAGCGAGAACACACAGCACAAGGTCACCATCAGCATCCATGAAAACCTTCCACAGTTCTTAAAAACACACATCTGCTAGATAGGTGTACACCAGAAGACTCCTTAATACGCTTGCCATAAGACGCTCTTTAAAAGCTGAACCAAAACTAACCCCTGGGGTCACCTTTTGGCTAAAGATGCAAACTGGCTCAAAAAAACCACAATCATCAACTGTAAGTACTGTTGTTGTTGTTGTTAAGTACTGTCGAGCCAGTTCCAACTCATTGCAACCCTGTATAGTGTTTCTGCAAGGAGCTCTGGTAGCGTAGTGGTTACGAATCGGGCTGCGAACCTTAAGGTCAGCAGTTCGAAACTACCAGCCGCTCCACGGGAGAAAGATGAGGCTTTCTACTCCCGTAAAGATTTACACCCTCGGAAACCCTGTACAGGGTCGCTATGGGTCGGACCCGACTCGATGGCACTTAACAACAACAACAACATAGTGTTTCTGCAGAGCAGCCGGTCAGTGTGAACTGCTGACCTTGCCTAGTGCCACACCACGACTGTTTACTGTGCTCCTGTTAAAAAACTTACCTATATGAGACCAAACGTTCAATGATTTTAAAACATGATGAGAAGGTGAGGGGGTAGGGAAACTAGATTCATGGAAACAGAACCACCAGAATGGAAAAATGAGACTGTTCACACACTGTGGAAGAACGTAAGCAATGTCATGTCACATTTCATGCAGAAACACTGAATGGGAATCTAAGCTGCTGTGTAAACATCACCAAGAACACAGTACTATTAAAAATTTTTTTAAAAAAAAGATTTCTATAAAACCAGGGTCAATAGACGTAGCTATCAGATCATTGTATCCTTCTAAGTGAGCACCTCTCCCTATCTGTAGGAAGAGTTCATCAGCAGAAAGTGATGGCTTCGGTGCTGACTCAGACAGCCTGGAGCAGTTACACTGCACCAACCCTTACTAACTCCAGTATCTGTACAATGGGGACAGTAAGTAATGTTTTCCTCACAGGACTGTAAATAGTAAAGGCAATCAATCACCCACCCAAAACCACTCAGCTCAAAAAGCAATCAAAAACTCTGTGCGTCATCATCATCATCACTTTAGGCAAAAGTTGCGCTGCATACACTAGCTACAGAGGAAGTTGTGGTCACACCCTGACTTTTTCTCATCCATGGACAAGACTTCCATGACTTGTGGGACTTAGTATAAACTTTGAGGGGCAGTAAGGAAGAGAAGACCAAAAATAAATACATAAATAAATAATGTGTAAGAGGTGAGTTGCTCACTCGTATTTACTTCCATCCCCTCAACAGCCCACCCAGCAACATCACCCTGGGCTTTCACATTTACAAATCATGTGCATGCTTCTTTATCATGCACGAACTGCTCACATGCCCAGGAAGGGTGACTGCTGAGCTGTAGGGATCCCCACCTAGCAGGTGAGCTGTCCAATGTGGCGCAGCCAGTGAGGACTGAAGCCAGGAGTAAAGGGCAAGGCTCCTGCCTCCACTTACCCAGCTCTTTGTATTACCTCTGCCCAGCCACAACCAAAACCTCTCCACTCTAGGCTTGCTCAGCCAGGTTACAGAATACTAGGTAACGTGAGTTGAAGAAGGCTGAGTGCCATAAAGAAGGACAGTGGCAATTGACTCGTAGTTAGCAAGAGACAGCCTGCCCTGGACAATGGACACTCCCCATACTTCCCAGGACCCGTCAGCCCTGGCTCTGGCCAGGCTTACCAGCTGCCATGGTAGGGAGCATGCTAGATCTCTCTTCATCCATCACAAAGGAGCAGTCTTCATAAAAAGTGCTGTCAATTGAAAGAGAAAGGAGGAAAGTTCTGAACAGTAGTTCTCCCAGTTCATCAGCCAAACAAGTCCGTTCTCTGGCTCCCTGGAAAATCCATGCCAGGTCAGCTCATAGTGGAGTCGGTATGTCTGAGACCTCTGCTGTTGTACCGTCTAGTTACAAACAAAGGATTGAATGCATCTATCCTACTTCCTGGTTGGTCCCCTGAGACCCCCCAAGCTGTAGAGGACTGAAATAGGCATGATATGTAAATGCAGCATTTATGAAGTGACAAACAAGGGACAAAGAGGGGGATGAGCTCCACTTAAGCAGTGTTTCTGGGAGAATCATTGGGAACCCAAGCTGGCCAACAGAGATCTCCTACTTTGGTTAATACAAGAAGAGACAATTTCAGAAATAAATGAAAGTGTTCTGTGGCTCCATCCACCAAGGTACTGACCTACCATACCTGCTAGAACTGTAAACCAGGAAGCCCAAGCTATCCCTAGAAAGGGCTAAAGAGTCCCACAAATCAAATCAGCAGGAGGAAGGTAGTCAAAGAAGCCTGTATGGTCTGCCAAGGTCATCAGGTCAATCAATGGTGCAGCCGGGGTGTCAAAGCAGATCTCCAGAGTCCAGCTCCCTGAGTCTTGATTGCGCCCTGCCAAGCAATAGACCCAAACAGCTTCTACCCTGTGGTTTTCCAGGACATGGGTGTCAAAATCAGGGAGTCAGAGCTAAACGCCACTAAAGGAGAGTTGGTGAGGAGGAACCTTCAGGTCAGCACAGTTGGAAACACAGACTGCTGACGTGACTAAATACATAATCGCAGGAGGAGAGAAGAGATGCCAAGGGTTCCATGGAATTACCCAAGCCAGAGGCTCACACTGGCATTATCCCTGGCCCCGAAATAGTGATGCTTTCAAAATCTGAACCAGTTTCACACAGAGTCATAACAAAAGCATGTGGCTTGTCCACATCAGTTAGTGAGTATGATTCCGGAACGTTCACCTTCATTCTGAACAGACAAGCTCACAGCAGCTGCCCATCTTTAAATGGAACTTGGAGACTGAGTATGCCACTCTGGTAACGTAGCAGGTTACGCATTGGGCTGCTAACCATAAGGTCAGCAGTTCGAGTTGACGAGCCCCTCCACAGGACAAAGATGAAGTTTGCTGCTTCCATGAAGATTTACAGCCTCGGAAACCCTACACAGGATCGCCACAAATCCAAACTGGCTTTAGAGCAATCAGCAACAACAGATATACTGACTCCGACTTACGTTTTAACAAGATCCCCAGACTCTTCTAATCTTATCTTTATAAAAATCTTAACATTCTCATAATCACCTGGGTATCAAGTTAAAAACTTAAGATTCTGATTCAGTATATCTGGGGGTGATTCAGTATATCTGGGGGTGGGGGGGATTGTGTACCCCCCAAGTCTGTTCCGAGTCATAGTAACCCAGTATAGGGTTAGTAGGGTCATCATTGCATCACTTACAGGGGATTTCCTTTATCTCTGCAATGGCTTCCACAGCATTCTCAAGGCTTTGACATGAATGTGGCTGACTACCCCATCAAAGGCTCAGGTTCAGCTACCTCCTCCTCTTGCTGTGGGATCTTTCTACCTCCCCACTCTACTAAATGTGAGTCCCAGTGTGGCGCTGCAGGATAAGCACTCACCAGACACTCCCCAGAAACGCTAAACAGGTTTCCTATGAGTCAGAACCAACCCTTAACAACAACAACAACAACAACTCTACTAAACAAGAAACCCTAGAGGTGCACTGGGTTAAGCTTATGCTGATAATTAGAAGGTCAGCAGTTTGAACCTGCCAGTTGCTCTGTGGGGAAAAGATGTGGCCGCCAGCTTCCTAACAGATGGAGCCCTTTGTGGGCCATTCATCTCTGTCCTACAGGGTCACTATGAGTCAAAACAGATTCAACAACACTGGGAACGCCTTCCTGAGCTGGGGTGTGGTCATGTGGTTTGCACCGGCCAATATACTGTGAGTTGACAGGAAGTATCCCTGTAGCTCTTGAAGTGCCAGAGTTCCATCCAATGGACCTCCGTTCCCACCTCAACAGTCAGGAAAGGATATGAGTAGACGGAGCCTGGGTCCCAGAAATGAGAACTCCTGGCTCATCCAGGATGGGCAATGGAGCACAAGAAAGAAATAAAGAAACTCGGGTGTCTCCAGCCACTGAGGGCATAGTGGTACTCATTACCATAATATACATATATCTACATAGCTTTCACAATATATGTATATACACAGCTTTGTCTATGCTGTTTCTAGGTGTTGTCAAGTCAGTTTCACCTCAGGGCAACTCCAAAACATCTTCAGAAGCAGGCCACTCAACCTGTCTTGCAAGGTACCTCTATTGTTGTTGTTAAGTGCCATCAAGTTAGTTCTGACTCATAGCGACCCTGTATAAGGTTTCTGACGAGTGATCAGTGAGCTGGAACCACTGACCTTGTAGTTCAAATGGCTTTGCAGTCTGGCGCATTAACCCACAGGGCCACACCAGGACTCCAAGGCACCTCTAGGTGAGTTCAAACTCCCAGTCTTTCAGCTAGCAGTTGAGAGTTTATCCATTTGTTCCACTCAGGGATCTACACTAGACTGGTCTATAAAGGCCAGGTATTCTATATAGCCTGCTCTATACTAATTGGGAAGGAGCTCTGGTAGCATAGTGGTTACGAATCGGGCTGCAAACCGCAAAGTCAGCAGTTCAAAACTACCAGCTGCTCCGCGGGAGAAAGATGAGGCTTTCTGCTCCCGTAAAGATTTACAGCCTCGGAAACCCTGTTCAGGGTTGCTATGGGTCAGAACCAACTCGATGTACTTAACAACAACAACAACATACTAATTGGGGAGTCCTGGTGTCTGACTGCCGGTTAATGCACTGGAATGCTAACTCAGTTTGAACTGCAAGGTCATCAGTTCAAGCTCATTAACCGCTCCTCGGAAACCCTGTACAAGGTTGCTATGGGTCAGAACTGACTCGACAGCACTTAACAACGATCTTAAATGGACCAATAAATAACATCAATGTAAAGGGAAAAAAGATTGAAGTTGGATTTACAATCGATACTCGTGGACGCAACAGTTAAAAACTCAAATGACTGCACTGCACAAATCTGCTGCAAGAGACCTCTTTAAGTGTTCAAGAGCAAAAGATGACAGTTTGAAGACTAAGGTACGTCTCACCCAAGCCATGGTATTATCAGTGGCCTCATCTGCATGTGAAAGCTGGACAATGAATGAATAAAATTGGAAATAATGGATGCATCTGAAGAATAGTGGTGCTGACAGATACTGAAAGGACCATAAAAACAAACAAATCAGTCTTCGAAGGACAGACAGAATGCTCCTCAGAAGACAGAATGGGAGACTTCCTCACAAACACTTTGGATCTATTATCAGGAGGGACCAGTCCCTGGAGAAAGGACATCATGCTGGGTAAACTGGAGGGTCAGTGAAAAAGAGCAAGCTCCCCAACAAGACGGATTGATACCGTGGCTGTGGGGGGTCAAACAGAACAACTGTGAGGATGGTGTGGGACCAGGCAGTGTTCTGTTCTGTTGTGTACACAGCCAACAGCACAACATACTGAAACAGTGAAAAGCATGTTTGTGAGCAAGAAAGAATAAGTAAACGTTTTTTAAATAGCAAATGACTTCTTTCCAAACTTAAATCTTACTTTTTTTAAGTCAATTTGGGATTGATTAACCTCAAAGAACAGAGGCCAAGGTTAAAAAAAATAAAAATAAAAAAATTACAGAATTGAAAAACAGAACTTGACAATGGACACTGAACACCAAGCATCGAAAGAGGAAGAGACTAAATCTGAAAGAAGCTCAAATTAACTTCCACAGAAGTGGAGAGCAGACTGGGTCCTGGGGCAATAGCTCCTCCCAGCCCACCCCACCCCACCCCAAGTCTTAACACAAACATGCACTGAGTGCTTGCTGCATGCAGGTGCCAGCCTGAGCTCTTCACTAGCTTTCTCACACTGATGCTCCCACCCACTATCCCACAGCACAGCTGAACCAAAGGGGGGTGGGAGGAGAACGGCTGGCTCACCCCAGTGGGAGAGGCTGGGATACAGAGCCAGACAGCTGCCCCAGAGTCTGGATCTGAACCACCCTGCAACTCCTCCAGGGTCCTGGTCTAGTCCAGGGGATCGCGCCTACAGCTCCTCCTCTCAGAGCACCAGCCCAGTGTTCAGCACCTTGGCCAGGGTTCAGTCCAGACGGAGTACTAGAGCCTGCAGGTGCGCGGTCTCCTAGGGCCTGGCCCAACCCACGAACCGGAGCCCTCAGCTCCGCCTCCCCTCCGGGTGGAGGGGGCCAGCCCAGCCCAGCCCACCTCCGCCTTCTCCTGGGAACTAGCCCAGCCCACGTACTGGAGCCCTCAGCTCCGCCTCCCCTCCGGGTGGAGGGGGCCAGCCCAGCCCAGCCCACCTCCGCCTTCTCCTGGGAACTAGCCCAGCCCACGTACTGGAGCCCTCAGCCGCCTCCGGGGGCCCAGCCCAGCCCACGTACCTGAGCCTGCTGCGGTCAGCCAGGAGCATGTGTAGGTAACGCTCCAGGGAGTGCTCGTTGAGGGCGCAGCGCAGCCAGGCGCGGCCACGTCCCACGTCGGAGGCAATGTGGCGCAGGGCGTAGAAGCGCTGCAGCTCGTGCTTGTTCAGGACCTCCCTCACGTAGTACCAGAACACGGGCTCTGGGGAGAAATGGACAGAGTGTCACTCGGGCTCAGGCACGCGGAGCTTCAGTCATCTTCCCTGGGCATTATGGAGGGTTCCTGCTTGGCGCAGAAAAGGTAGAAGAGGCTGGATAGGGCAGTCAAAATAAAATATGGCCCCCAAAACTGGTCATCCATGGAAAAAGCACATTCAACTAGTTCCTTCTAGTCTTTTTTCTAGAAATGTCCTTTTTATATATAAAAACCGACATCCTAGCAGGCTGAATACTTTTGGTGCCATAGGGGAAATAAACAAAAAAAACATTTTGAAGTCAGGACCAGTATCAATTTTTAACAAACTTAAGTGGACATCTCCCAAATCACTGAAACTTTGCAACAAGTTTCCTCGACAATGAAGAAACTGTGGCTGAAGTTCAGAAACAGGTGGCAGAAGACTGCAGAAGTATCAGAGCTGAGGTGTGGTTTCCCAATGAAATTCTCATATGACTGGCTACCCTCAAAGATCGAGCAGATGCACTGTTGTCATGGAATGAAAAACACTTCAGCTCAAAGTTTCCTCCCTTTTTTCACCAATGCAATTGTTCACTTTCTTAAAACTTGTACCTAATAAATGGGCTAAGCACTGGACTGTTAACTTCAAGGTCGGCAGTTCAAACCCACTAGCCGCTCCACAGGAGAAACACAAAGCTTTCTGCTCTGTAAAGATTGATAGCCTCTGAAACCCTAAACTTTGCTTTGAGTTGGAACAGACCTAACAAAAACAGTAAGCCAGAGTCATCATCCTGGGTCCTTCAAGAATATCAAGATTGGTCATCATGGGCTGGGCATTGGCTCTGTGACCCACAGCCCTCTTCTCTCGTCACCCATAAACTCCAGGAGCGCCTCAACTTTGAGATTTACTTTATGGGAAAAGAAACCAAGACTCGGTATGGTTGAGTGGCTAACCCATTTGAGGCTCATTACAGAGCTGTGTAATCAAGATTACCCCTTTGATATCTTAAAATCAGTGGTGCTGTGAGTTAATGCACTGGACAGTAAGGTTGGTTTGAACCGCAAGGTCAGCTGTTCATCCACTCCTTGGAAACTCTATACAGGGTTGTTATGAGTTAGAACCCACACAATGGCAATTAACAACAACAACGTAACTTTCTGAGCTGACCTCCATGCCTTGAATTTAAGTGGCCCAGGTCCCTCTCAGATGCCACTGTTTCAACTGGGCCTTTTTTTTTTTTTTTTAAGGTACCTTAACAAGAGTGAGACAAGTATATTACTGAGAGAACTTGCCTGAAACCAACTACTGAACACAGAGACATTTCAAAACATATTTTGCGTGGAATAAACCCGTGCCTGTATGAAGTAGAACCCTAGTAGCAATATATGTTGTTGTTATTGTTTACTTACCCTGGTATTGCAGGATAGAAATAACTAAATTTCTGCTGCCAGAACTGGGTGGTTACAATTCAGATGCTTATGAGAATCACAGACCCTTCTGAAATCTGACAGAATCTTTGAGCCTTTGGTTCCAAGGTTACACATCTATACACATCTCCATCCACTGGAAACCAGGCAAACAACCCAACAACCTCAATGCCTGAGGGTGCAAATGGCTCATGTGCCCACCTACTCACAGCAAAGTTGAGAGACTAAAGTCTATTCAGAAGAAAGACCTGGTGATCTATCCCAAAAACTCAGCCAGTGAACCACATGGAGCACAGCTCCACTCTGACAAACTGGGGATTGCTAAGTGTTTGACTCGACCCATCAGAAACCAGTCCATTTCAGGACAAATATATTACTCTGGTAGAGTGGTGGTGGCTGTGTGCCGTGGAGTCCATTCCGACTCATAGCGATGCTGTTAAGGTTTCCGAGGCTGTAAATCTTTACGGGAACAGAAAGCCTTATCTTTCTCCCGCAGAACAGCTGGTAGTTTCAAACTGCTGACCTTAAGGTTCGCAACCCAATTCGTAACCACTACGCTACCAGAGCTAGTAGTAGTTACAAATTGGGCAGCAAATCTCAAGGTCAGCAGTTCGAAACTACCAGCTGTTCCGCAGGAGAAAGATGAGCTTTCTGCTCCTGTAAAGACTTACAGCCTCGGAAACCCAGTACAGGGTCACTGAGTCGCAGTCCACTCCAGGGCACATAACCACCACCAGCAGCAGCACTGAGCAATGAACTGGGCAAGGCCGTGAGCTCACACAGGTGGAACATAATAAGGACTGACTCCAAAGGAGCTTCCTGTCTGGTAGACAGGACTGTCGAGGGTAAAAAACCCAGCTCTGTAATGAGCCTGTAATGGGTTAGCCACTCAACCATTATGAGGTTTACTTTTCCCATAAAGTAAACCTCAAAGTTGAGGTGCTCCTGGAGTTGACGGGTGAAGAGAGAAGAAGTCTGTAGGTCACAGAGCCAATCCCCACCTGCTTGGTAAACTGCTGCTGCTTTGAGGAATGTGGAGTCGGGTTCAGAACAAATGACTGCCCAGTCCTATACCATCCTCACACAATTGTTGGTGGTAGTTGTTGTTAAGTGCTGTCAAGTCAGTTCTGAGTCATAGTGACCCTGAATATGGTTTCCCAGGAGCAGCTGGCGAGCTTGAACCTCCAACCTTGTAGTTCAAATCGACCTTGCAGTCTAGTGCATTAACCCACAGCGCCATAGTAAAAACCAAATCCATTGCCGTCAAGCCAATTTCCAGCTCATGGTGACCCTACAGACAGAGGAGAACTTTTCACAGGGTTTTGGAGACTGTAAATCTTTACAGAAGCAGACAGTCTCACTCCTGTCCCTTGGAGCGGCTGGTGGGTTTGAACCGCCAACCTTGCTGTTAGTAACCCAACACTTAGCCCACTGCACAACAGAGCTTCTTTGCTTAGTATTTGTTATAAAAGTGTTACCTGTGTTCTTTCCTCTTCTCTTTTCTGTTAACACTGTCTAAATGTACATGCCAGGCCCCCTGGTGACTCAGCATTAAGCATTCCGCTGCTTCTGAAAGTTGGCATTCACACCCCAGCAGCTCTGTGGGAGACAGAATCTCCTGATCTGCTCCCATCAACGTGACAGCCTAAAAACCCTGTGGGACAGTTTACGCCCACCTGGGGTCACCAGGAGTCCAAATCGACTTGATGACACCTAACAACAACAACAAATGTGTACACACATAGGAGAGTGGGCACTTCTGTGTGTATCAGTGGATCAAGTCTACCTTAGGGGTTCATGTAGAAAATGTCTCCTTGGAATAAGTGGAAAAAAACACCAATAGGGCAATTCAGCGAGGATTACCATCTGTCTCAGTCCCTAAACACCAAACTAAATCTGCTGCTCAGCCCACGGGATCGGCTGCTCCCAACAGCATGCTTTCCACAGTCTGCCTCTGTCTAAAACCAGGGCATGGGGAATCCGGCCAAACACCACCCCGAGTTAGCAGGTCAGGTGCTTATTTTGAAACACATCATACAATCCATCCTCTTATGAAATCTTTTTGTAAGCCGAAATGGTGACAAGAAAAGAAGCAATTACCATTAATTTTCTGTCATTGTTGCTAAATGCCATCGAGTCAGTTCCAACTCATAGCGACCCTGTACTGGGTTTCCAAGCAGAGGGTGGTGGATTTGAACCACTGACCTTTTGGTTCAAACTGATTTTACAGTCCAGAGCTATATCCTACAGTGCCACACCATTAATTTAGATAGGAAGAAATCTCTGTGTGTTGCTGGACCCAAGAAATAATCTACCAGATCATACCAAATAACACAAAAAGTATAATATAATGCCAACATACAGTGTTCACAGACACAGTCATAGATAATGGCAGTCTGTCGCTGACATGTGGGGTGCAGTTCGCCACTTGGGGTGCAACTTTCCACTGTCACTGCTGGGGGCGCACACTGCCTCTTCAATGGCTTCGCTGCTGCAAGGCAAATGCTCAACGCTAGTTTTAGTGTTCTTCCTTTTTACAAAAAAAGCAAAAAATCCTCTTCGCATTTCAATCTGCTAGTGAAAGCAGGTACCAGTGCAGGGCTTTCATAAAAGTAAAGGGGCGCAAATGAATTTTCAAAAAGTGAGGGATACCTGTTTATCAATCTCTGATCAAGTGACTCACACCTGCAGCCTGTCTTTCCAGAAAGATGCAGCCTCCACCTTCTGATCTTGAGAGCCCTCCAATCACCTGTCAGTGTGTTTTCACCTTTCAAGTGCCCAAACTGCTACTGCCACAGAAAGCTTCCAAAACTTGTCAGGGAGATGCTGGATTAAAATTACACTAGTAATTCTAGTAAGGAATGGAATTACACTAGTAAGACTGGACTCCCGCTGCCAGATTTAACATGCTTTAATTAAAGGGCAGCTCACCTGCCATACAACACCCACCAAGTCCGTAATTTAATTTGGGATTACATACGCCATGGGTCGGAATCGACTCGACGGCACTTAACAACAACAACAACCCATGTCACTTAACAACAACAACCACCCATGTCTTGGGAGCATGGAGGCTCTACACAGTAAAGCACTGAACTACGAACCACAAGGATGGCAAATCAAGCCCACCGGTCACCTCCGCAGGAGGAAAGATGAGGCTTTCGGCTTCCGCAAAGATGTACAGCTTTGGAAACCATATACAGGATCACTGTGAGTCGGAACCAATTCGATGGCACACAACAACCCCTATCTTGTTGATGTTAAGTGCCGTCAAGTCGATTCCAAGTCACAGCAACCCTGTCTAAGGTTTCCAAGACTGTACACCTTCATGTGAGCAGAAAGCTTTCATCTCTCTCCCGCAGAGCTGTGGGTGAGTTTGAACCTTGTGATTAGCAGTCCAGCACTTATCCTACAGCACTCCCTTCCAACGGTGGGGCTAATTCCAAAAGTAGACAAGGGCTTCCCACTCTCTGAACACCTGAAAGCCCACCACCGGAAGACCAGGAGCCAGAGCAGCACTGTTGAGAGGAGCTCCCAGGAGCGTTTGGTGGTAAGGCAACAAGTAACACAGAGCTTTGGGCATCGTTTCTACTAGGCCT